ATCAGCTGGGACTCAGGAGGAAGAGAATAGATGGGGGCGGGGCCAGTCAGAGGTGGTATTTACCAGTTCTCCAAACTACTGAACATCTCCGCAACTGGTTCTCCAGAACTGGTCAGAACCTGCTGAATACCACCTCTGGTGAGCATGTGTGCTACCTGTCACACAGCCTTCTCTTTAATTAGACTAGCATCAGATGTGATGGTGATTATTCTTTTGTTGCCAGTATCAAAATTTTCTTAGCTCACCTGGAATCCGCTGAAAACCAACTTGTGCTTTGCCTCGTGTGGTGTGGACCTAGAAAGCAGCTTTAATCTACATGAATCCTGTGGTGCCCTTAATTCGCTATTTTGCAAAGTGGATGGCTTCATCCATTATGCTTTTGTAAGAACATGGAGTCAGTTAGCTTTGAATAATGCAACAGCCATTAGGGAAACATCTACTTAGCCCAGAAAGATAGGAGAGTGTGTGGGAGAAACTCAACTCTCCTCTGTCTTGACTTTTTTTGTTATAAGTGTGAATGAGAGATAATCTCTCCCAGGCTTACTTTATTGTTATCTCTCTATATAAAAGGCAAATACCTTTCACTCATCACAAAATCTGCAAAACCATAAAGCCTACAAACTTGAAATTTGGCACGTATGTTCCTTTTGGCTTCTAGGTGCTCGCTAAGAAAGGATTTTTTAAAATGACCATCAGATCATTATAATTTCTTATACATTATTTAACACACTTTGATGCTAAGGAGTTCTCCCCCCCCTCCCCACCTGAAAAGAACTCTGTTCCAACTGCCAGTTACCTTATATTAACATGCTCTGATGCTAAGGAGTTAGACATTGTGCTAGGCAATGGGTATTTGACCATAGTTTTTGATTAATATGTGCAACAAATAAGGTGGTAAACCAAAGGCTAGTAACCACAATGGCTGAGCATATGCTAAACCAAAATTAAACTGATCACATTATGACTTAGCCTCATATCAGATGTGGGCTGTTGCCGGTTCAGCCTGGATCAGCTAAACCGGTAGTAGCAGTGGTGGGAGGCTCTGCCCATCCACCTGGACTCTTCTGCGCATGCGCAGAAGTGTTGCGCGTTTGAGGAAGCACACCCGAACCGGTAGTAAAAAAAATTAGCAACTCAACTCTGCCTCATATGCAAACTTAGTCACTGATTGGTCAGCAAATCATCAGAGTTTAGGCAAGGTGTCAAGGTTCCAAATAGCATCCAAAAGTAGACCAGAGTCCAAGGCAAAAAGTATTGCTCAAAGTTCCAATTTATTAAGAGAGCCATGTTGGCACATCTGGGAAAACCNAGCACCTGTGGGATGCTCCGCTGAGCAGCTGGAACATTGCAGAGGCTCGTGGAGATGCTAAGACGCATGCACACGCTGCACACGTCCATGTGGACTCTTCCAGGCCCATTCAAACTGTACTGGTTGGAATGGGATCCGGAACCCATCACTGCCAAGGTTGGAGACCCCTGATTTAGTGAACCTCAGGCCTAGGGCAGGACTAGAACTCACAGTCTCCTGGTTTCTAATCTAGAGCCTGAACCACCACTGGCTTCCATATGCATACAACATTTTCTTTTGTTTCATGCAACCAAGGGAGAGAACTCTTGATGTATGACAGCTTATATTACAGAGGGTGGAGTCACCTTTCAAGCACCTCACGACTCTTTGCTGCTTCATACGTCAATGCGGAGTCAGTGTTTCTTGTTTAATCAACATGGTCATCACCTTGAATTTTTGTCTCTGCAAAGGCAAGCTTTTAACTTATCTCAGCTGTACTTACACAGAAGTTTTCCACGAAGCCAGAAGGCTGGAGAAAAACTTCCTAACAAGCAGATTCTCCAAAGGCACAAAATAGGGTGCTGATGTTTCATTAATTAAGTAATTTAGTTAGACCAGTGGTTTTTTTTTTAAAAAAGTAAAACCTGGCCACTTAGAACCTCTCAGAATGGGAGTGAAAGTTCACCCATCTTAAACTGGCCAAGTCTGAAAAACGCCGAGTTAGATTTTGGCCTGTACAACACCAACCTTTAAAAAGTGACTTTGTGCCACATTCATTCTTCTTGTTTTTGTTGTGTTAAAGTCTGTGGCAAAGTTGACAGGTCTAGAATTAAAGGCTTATGCAAAAGCCGGGGCCATCGCTGATGAAGTGCTCTCATCGATCCGAACTGTGTCTGCATTTGGAGGAGAGAAAAAAGAAGTTGAAAGGTTGGTTGCATTATATATCAAGTTTGTTTCTGAGCACCAAAGAAGTCAGCTGAATTGAAACAGGCCATGATTGCTTAAGGGCTAAACATGAATATTTATTGTGACAATTGAAAACAAGCTCTTTCTAGCAGTAATAGACTAAAGCTGTGTCTAGGAAGACACTGTGTTTTTATTCTAGTTTCTTGTGCTAGATGCATGAAATGGAAAGGCTTCCTCAGATTTAGCTGCTTTGATTGTACTAGTAATATTATACAGTTGGCCAAGTATTAGATAGGTGAGCATCAGTGGTGGGATTCAATAATTTTTACTACCGGTTCTGTGGGCGTGGCTTGGTGGGCATGGCAGGGGGAAGGCTACTGTAAAATCTCCATTCCCTCCCAACTCCAGGGGAAGGTTACTGCAAAATCCCCATTTCCTCCCAATCAGCTGGGCCTCAGGAGGAAGAGAATAGGGAGGGGCGGGGCCAGCCAGAGGTGGTATTTGCCAGTTCTTCGAACTGCTCAAAACTTCTGCTTCCAATTCTCCAAAACTGGTCAGAACCTGCTGAATCCCACCTCTGGGCCGCACCCACCCAG